AAGCAATTAGAGAATCTAAAAGTCATTAAAAATTAGACTAAGACATGCTGACTCTGACTAAAAAAGACATGAGATCAGAGAAGCTCATGTTAAAAAAATAGTTTGCTAAGATCTTAGTAAAGAACATAAATCAAGTATATCAAAAAATCACTGATTTTATGAATGATGTAAGAGATACTTCAGATAAGATTAAAGTAGAATAAGATAAAGAAAAAGATGAAAAAAAATTGATAATTAAATAAATAAACTAATAGAGAAATAAAATATATTATAGTAAATAGTGAATTTTCTGAATAAAATACAAATTGATTGTTAATATTAATTACTTTTTAATAAAAAAAAGCTAAATTATCTATATTGAAAATTGAATAAATGATAAATTTATCAGATATCTAATTTTAAAAATGAGAAAAAAATTATTCAGAGAAGTTTAAAATAGTAAAGAACGTATTTAAACATCTGGAAAAAAATATATAAAAATGTTAACAAACTTGAAAATATCAAAATAAAGTATTCAATACCTAGTAATGAGAAATGAGAATGACTATCATAAATTTACAATCAAGTTCTTATATCTAACTGAGAAAGCTTAAGTTTATATAAATGATTATAAGATAGATTTTCTTTATAAACTTTTTTTTAATCTGCAATATATGATTGCAGTAGTCTACATTAATTATTTTATTTTTTAGAATATTTAGAATATCTGTATTAGAACTTCTTATTATTTTAAGAACATGTTTAGTTTAACTAGTCAATAATTACTTAATACAGAATAATATCAAAACAACTAGAAGAAAATTTTTTCAACTTAAACTTATAAATTAATATTAATCATAATAATATAGACTCAGAAGAATAAGTTGAGAACTGATGATTGAAAAAAAAATAATAAAATACTTCAAAAAAAAATGCTTCAACTACTGAAGCAAAAATTATATAGCTCAGAATTGCTCACAGAAACAAACAATGAAGATGATAAAAATGAATACTGAAACTGCTATTATTAAGTCAGAAAAATTCAAAAAAATATTATTTAATTTTACTAATAAATAAAATCATAAAATGACTGAATAATATTAACTACTTTATTAAACTTGATATTTAACAAGATTTTACTGAATTTATATATAATTAAAGACTGAAGATCTAAGTATCTTTAGAATATATTATGAGATTTACAAGTATAAAGTTATACTTTTTGATTTAAACAATAAGTTAGTCATCTATTAGCACTTTATAAACATTATCTTCTTTGACTATTTGAATTAGTTTATAACTGCTTTTATGAATGACCTATCTATCTACAACAAAACTCTAAAAGAGTATAAAAACTATGTTAAGAAGATATTAATCAGATTGTGAGTAACAGAATTGCAGACAAGTATCTCAAAATATGAGTTTCATATTTAACAGACAAAGTACTTAAGATTTATTATCATTGATCAAAGAATTAAAGTTGACTCTGAGAAAATTATAATAATATTATAATGAGTAATGCTTAGTACAGTTAAAAAGTTTAATTATTTTTAAAAATTTACAACTTTTATCAGTATTTTATCAAAAAATATAGCTGAATTAAAAGATCACTACTTAAGCTAATCTAAAAGAATTAATCTTTTAAATAAAATAAAATTTATCAAAGTATCTTTAATTAAATGAAGAAAGCTCTATTTGATACTTCAGTGCTTTATCATTATAATCTAAATTGAGAGATCTGAGTAAAGATTAATATATTAGATAGTACTATAGCTAATGTTCTATCTTAGTTATATGAGAATAAATAGTGATACTCTGTGATATTTTACTCTTTATTCATGAATAGTACAGAGAAAAACTACAAGATTCATGATAAAAAAATGCTAGTTATAGTGAGAGCTTTATCAAAATGATAAACTGAACAAAAAGAATTTTAAAAAGAAAAAAGATTTAAAATTCTAATAGATTATCAAGTACTTAAATATTTTATGATCATTAAGAATCTCAATATCAAACAGATATATTAAACTAAGTTTTTTTTACAATTTTACTTTCTAATTCAATATTGATCTGAGTATTAGAATATACTAATAAATATTTTAAGCAGATCAGAGATTCAGAAAGAAAAGAATTACTTTAGAATGTAATTGTTTCTTAAATCAAAAAGATTGAACTTTATAATTATCGAAGAATCTATTAAAGTCAAGATTTTAAACATGAATATAAAGATTTTAAATGAAGTTAAGATGGGAAATAAAGAGATAAAGTCACTGAGCTTATAATATAAAGAAATAAAACAGAGAAAATAACTTTGAAAACTGATAGATAAACTTTTATACTTTGAAAAATACTTAATAATATCAAATAAGAAAGATTTTACTTTAAACATATCTTCTAAAAGAGATTCATAAGTAGTTATCAACAATGTACTCTGGAAAGAAAAAGCTATACTCACTAGTGAAGATGAAATACTACTGAAATAATTAAATTAAAAATATTAATCAATATATAAATAATTATCTGATATATTAATAAATGAAAATTTTTTATAATAAGACTTTGAAACTACTAAAGTCACTATTAATTTCAGATAAAGTCTGATAATACATTTTGATAAATTTTATAAATAGTTTTATAATAAAAAGAGATCATAATATAATATTAATAATTATCTATCAACTAAATAAGAAGCTAATATTCATTTTTAATATAAGAATAATTGATGTTAAAGAGCTAATAAGACTTTTCTTAAAGTGTTATTATTAATACTATAAAATATTAGATTCAATTATGTTAGATTAAAAATCATAGTTTATCTCAAACTTCTGAGACAAATTCATCAAATAATTAAAAGTTATATTGAAGCTCTTATCT